ATTCCCCTTGGCCTGTCACTCCCTGCCCTTGTCACCAGTCCCTCTCCAGCTTTCCTGGAGGCCCCATAGAGCACAATAGCTCTCGATCTCCAGGTTTAAGAAATCGGGCAAGGAAGGCAAGAGACTGGCACGGCTGAGTCAAGACCTGCTGGTCAAACTAAAGGGCAAGAAGGAAATGATCAGGCAGTGGGAGCAGGGACAAGTATCCTGGGGAGAGTATAGGGACGCTGCCCAGTTGCATAGGGATGGGGTCAGGAAGGCCAAGGTGTGAATGGAGCTGAACTTGGCCAGGGACGCAAAGAATAGTAAGAAGGGCTTCTACAGGTACGTCAGCCAGAAAAGGAAGGTCAAAGAAAGTGTACCCCCGTGATGAGCAAGACTGGCAAACTGGTGACAACAGACGAGAAGGCTGAGTTTTTGGCAGGGCCTGTTGAGATAGGACATGGGGCAATGGCTTTAAACTAAAAGAGGGGAGATTCAAACTAGATATAAGGAAGAAATTTTTTTATGACGAGGGTGGTGAAAGACTGGAACAGGTTGCCCAGAGAGGTTGTGGATGCCCCATCCCTGGCAGGGTTCAAGGCCAGGTTGGATGGGGCTTTGGGCAGCCTGGGCTGGTTGAAAATGTCCCTGCTCACTGCATGGGAGTTGGACTAGATGGCCTTTAAAGGTCTCTTCCAACCTATACTATTCTATGATTCTGGGATTAGGAGCTCTAAAACTACTAGCAGAAAGCAGGCTGTCAAAAATACGCTATTCACTTGATACAGCAGGCGATATTGAAGTAAAACTGGTTAACATATTTCAGATAAATGCCAGTTTTCTTGTGGAATAAAGGTGAAGACTCTGAGCCATCTGTTTGACATTTCCATCTCAAATGTAGCATTTGAGAACTAACATCATCTGCAGTATGTTTGCCCACTCTGTTTCTGAGTCATTAGCAGGTAATATAAACTAACTTGAGGGAAGTGCTACCCTAACCTGGCTGGAATGGTTTTGGTTCCAGGCTGTCAAGTGTTCATCTTTTTCACTAACAGCACATATACGGAGCTTATCATTTTCTTCATTATGGTCCATAGTGCTAAAAAGCATAATTTTTTCCATGTTAGAGACAGATTATTATTATTTTTTTGTGAAGTTAATAGGAGTGATATAAAGTCCAATGATATGCAAAATAACTGATATTCTGATAGCAGCACTGGCTTCAGGAATGGCTACTTACAAGGTTTCTGTTCTTTCTGGGTAGTTGAGTGTTGGTATAGACAGCTCTAAAGTAGCTGGAGTTCTCTAAATAGTCCATGAACTTGATAACTGACAGTACAGTTTTGAGAGAAGATTGTAACTGGCTGAGAAATAAACACCTGGAGTAAAAACTCAAGTTTGCCTAAACTTTGCTGTCATACAGAAGTATAATACAGTAGTGGCTGCAGTACTGATAGAAAATGGACCTGTTGATTATAGAAGCATGCTTAAATTAGAATGCTGATAAGTGAGAGGTATTGGTTTTTAATTCCTTTTTTTACTTGAATCATACTTAGTGATTAATACGCTTGGCAGAAGCTGTTGTAGTTGTCAATAGTTATATTTTTCATGTTACTTGCAGTCAGCTTAATTTATCGGGATTTCCCAAGTTTTGAACTGCTTTATAACTATTTTGGTAGACTTTTTTAGAAATCTAACCTTCTTGCAAGGAATTGATTTCTTACTGGATGTTGAAATATGCTGTTCTGTTTCTCTGAAACCCCATTTCGTTTTGTTTTCTTACAGATATACTGATGTTATTGATGTTGTACAGGCTCTGCAAACTCATCCTGACCCAGATGTGAAGTCTTCTTTCATCATTGGAGCAGTTAATACTTGTGTTGAGCCACTGAGTTGCTATATGGAACATAGGTATACTTTAAGATATTTTTACTAGTTTGAAAATAGATTTGTAAGTTTGAGATCACTTTTATAATAATTAGAGATATATGATTGTTAAATGCCATTGAACGGTCTTAAATCTTATAAAACTACTGCGTAATCCATTTTGGATGAACTTTGAAGTGCTGTTTGGTTTATAATGATGACACTTGGTTTCCACTAGGTATAATTATATATAATATTAATTAAAGTTAAGCTTGTGGAAGAATAAACAAAGATTGTCAGTAGCACACAGCTTAATTATGTATACTCTGGCTAAGGACTTTGTAAAATTTGGACAATCAGCTGTCCTGTTTTGTGTGCTTTATTTAAAAATTCTTTTTCTTACAATCTTTTTGTGACTGTGACTAAAAATGGAGACGTGCATCTCAGTTTGGGTTATTGATTGTGTCACTATTTTTGGATGTTAAATGAAGACTTTACAGATTTAAAATACGGATCTTAGGGAAGCAGTCCCAAGTTTTGTTGAAGAGAATGACAAAGCACGGAAGCAAAAGCATTGCAAGTATTAAAATCTGATATCCTGGGTTACTGCAGAGGCAGGGTGGGGAGGAAATGGCAGCAAAGCCAAGTCACTGACATTTTTAAATAGTGTGATTTGGTTGTTGTTTCATAGTGTATGTATGGGCTCTGCACTTCACCAAACATGGAACTAACTTCATAGACCTGTCTGTAAAATTGTAATACTTAAATTTTGCAATTATGCCTTGCAGCTGGTTTGATAAAAGTAAGTTAAAGCAGTTAAAATTTTCAGAGTTCTTAGCATTGCTGCTATTGGTGATAAAACTCTGTGCATCACAGCTTAGAGGTGAACTGCCCAGTTGTTTTATAACAGTGCAGTCCTTAAACTTCCTGGCTGTTTTTAAAAAACTAACCAATATGTTGCTTGTACTTTGCACTAGTCAGTAAACATTACCTTGCTGCTTCTTTTTGTCTCCGTGACAAAGATTGTAAATAAATTAAAGACTACATGAAATATTGGTGAATTGATGCTGGAGTGCTGTTTCAACTTGTCTTTCTTATAATTACAGAAAGAACAAGTTCCATTCCTAGCGTTTTTTTTTTTTTTAAACTTACTAATGTGTTACTGGTCATGGTAGTGAGTAGTATTTATAGCAGCAGTAGCCTGCAATCCTTTGACTAACATTGTTTGTCTCCTGAAGTGCAGTAGCAATTGAAGGAAGAGGCTTAGCCTATGTTGTAGACTATTTGTGTCTCGCTTTGAAGTTTCTTCTGATAAGAACTTACGAGTAGCCATGTACTGGCAATGACAAATCTTTCAGTTGGGAAGCTTTGGCGATTTCACTGTGCGAATCGAGAAGAGTGATTTTAATGTCTGACTTGAAACTTCTGCAGTCGAGAAAATCAAAACTCTTCTCTGCCTTAGAAAGTTCATGACTGTAGAAATCTAGCTCTTTCTAGCCTAGGGTGAAGCTTCTCCCCATGTCGAATAGTAAGCCAGGGCAGGGGAGAGGTAGTTGAAGGGGAACAGATAAAATACTATCTTTCCTCTAGAACTATTTTTAATTGTTGCTTGTCTAACACAATACCAGAAATTGGTACGATATGTGCAGAAGTCATTATGTACGTACAGTCTTTCCATGAAGACGTCCCGCCGTGTTTGGAAGGCACAATTCTTTAGGGCAAGCTTGAAATTCCTATTGTTTAAATAGGAATTAAAGTAATATTGAAGCCTTTCTGATTTTCTAAAATACAGAATAGATTGTGTGGTGGAAATTAGCTCTTAAATCCATTAAAGAATTAAAACCATCTGCAAAACTGATTTTTGGGGAAGAGTTCCTGAAAGACATAACCTATAGGGATGTTCCAGTTACATGGGTTGAAGAAAGAAAACATGAAAATGGGTTGGATAGTAAGACTCTAGCTGTCAGTGTCCAAGTGAATGTAAATGCTTTACTTAAATAATAATATCCAATCTTGATATACAACCTTCTGGTTTTTTTAGACTCCTTTTTCCCAAGTTCTTGGACCAGTGTTCACAAGGTACGTGTCACTTTCCTTGACTTTGAGCTATACAGAACAAGTAGCTGAGCCATATGGAAAAATAAATGCACTGTAAATGCATATAGTCAAAGGGTCATGATAAACTCTTAGGAGGTGAGAAATGTGAGAATAGTCAATCTCTCTCTGCCCACATTATTAAACACCACAGGTGCCTGGAGGAGATGTAAGATTACAGAGCTTGATGTATTCTAGTTATTCTCATATGGAGGATGGGTTTCCTAAGATCATGAGTTAAACTACTTACCTTGAACTGTTGGAACTCATGCTGTGTTGTTAATCTAGGAGCAACATGCGTTGGGCTTTTGTTCCATCCTCTTCTGGGGAGGCACGAGGAAATGGAGCTCTCCTTTTTGCTATTTTAGAAAGGGAAAAAAGAGCTGGTTACCTTGTTCCCCCTATCCTCCTCTTAATTCCGTGTGGAGGATCCTTGCAGGGTTCATTTGACCTTGCAGCAGACAAAAAAGCTCACTTGCAGAAGAACTGTTTCTTACCTGCGTATTGAGTTTTATATGTTGACTCTGCAATATATTGTCCTTCTTGTCAGGCTTGGAACTTAGAGCAGCTGCTGGCCTAAATGGGATCACATCCTTCCTGGCCTGCCATTGAATAAGTTCTTCAGGTTTCAAGAGCAGAAGCAAATTTGGCTGCAGCACCTTTACAGTTGTTTTTAACAATTGTATAGCTGATTTACAACATTAAGACCCGTACGTGTGGTGTGTGTATATATGAGATCAGATCTCCCCAGTCAGATGATCTTTATTTTAGGTGGACTATAAGCTTAGCCTGAAATTGAGTAGACCAATGACAGTTGAGATTTTTTTAAGTCGCTGTCGGACCATAGTTACTGCAGCACGACTCTTAATTTTTGTGTTTGCATTTAAATGCAGTTGTCAGAGTAGGATGCTGCACTCTTCTTGTGGCTATTTAGACTGTAGAGCTTTGTTTTGCTGCCAGAATTACACCACCTCTTATTCATGTGTGAAGGGAGCCCAAAAGAATGAAATCCAAAAGAACCCAAAGAATGAAGTTGTGAACAAGCTGGAAAGTCTGTAGGTGCTATTATATAAATCAGTATTTTATTTTTATTTCGAGAAAAATGTTGGTGCTACAAATTGGGGGAATGACCGACTATCCTGGTTATAGCCGTTGGTGAAGCTGAAGAGAGCGGGAGAATGTTAAGAATACAGCAAAGTATCAGTAACTACTGAGAAGTTAAGAATGCAAGCATGCCTTTTTGTTTTATGACAGAATAAAAATAAAAATACTCAAAGCTATCTTTGTTTAAAAAATGCAGTTGTACAGCCCTGATGGGGTGAGAATTTGTCATTGTTCAAGGAGGAACTAGAAAATACTTAGGACAAGTATAGCTAATTTGCCTATGGTCCAAACACTGAAAGAAGGAAAAATACCGGAGGTTAGAAGAATGTTCGTCTGGTAGTGAATTACTTCTGCATGTTGCAAGGTTTTGTCATCTACTTTTCAGATACAAAATGTGACATTAGATAGCCTAGAGGTCTGTTCCTGTAAAGCAAATTGTTTCACATGAATAGGGGCAATTTTTGTGTAAAAAGTTTTAGGAGGAAAAGTATGCTTTGAACTGAGATGTGGTACAGTATTAAACTTTCCAGACAAATGCAGAATTGTATCACATGTATAGTAGAGAATTTCCTTCTGTATAATTGAGAATTCTTCTCTGGTGCAACAATAGCAATATTTAATGAGGTGTTCACTTTGAGAGAGGTTTCTCCTACCTTTTTTGTGTCATGCACCCCAATATTATTGTTTGTGTTACTGTAGCATCAGTGGGCCAAGACAGTGTTGCGCTGGGTGTTGTTCAAATCTGAAAACAGTAACTTGCAATGCAGGTATAAGACCAGACAAGTATGGGTATAGACAAGTAGGAATGAATTAGACTTTTGGGTGGTTACCTTGTCCACATAACTATCTTGCAAATTTGGGGAGTGAGTAGGGTTACCCTTTGGCTGCTGCTTTCCAGGCCCCTTCTATTGTGTGGCTTCGTCTGTAGTTATAGAATCGTTTAGATTGGAAAAGACCTTTA